CCGCAGCCGCAGCTGGGAAGGGCAGAGACCGATTCAGCTGGCGGGGACGCGACGTTAAGACCGCCTCTCCAGAAACCCAGCTACCTCGCCGTTAACCGACGCTTGAGAATCCTCTCCTCCCCTTCGGTGACGCCTGAGGGCAACGCGGCCACGGGTGCCGCTTACGCGCCAGAGACCGGACGGGGTCCGGCAATTCCTAGCCAGCCCAAATCCCGGGCTTCCTCCCGCCCTGGGGGACCGCCAAGAGGAAAGGTGCACCAATCAGAATGTAGGCCTGGAAGACGCTCACCCTCAGGACCAATAAGAGGCTGGGAGGGCGGGCCGAGGGCGCCGGTTCGCTCTTCTGGTTTAAACCTCCGGGTGTGTCGGTTAACGGCAGCCTCGGCGCGTGGGCTGGCTGTGCGCTTGCGCGAGCTGAGGAGCGCTAACCGAAGCCTGCGGAGCCGCGCTAGCCGGGCGGCGGAATCGGTGCGGCGGGCGGGCTCGGCGGGACCGGTAAGCGGGCGGAGGCTGGGCGGGGGCGGCACGGGCCCCCGAGGGCAGGCGGCCCTGCTGAGGAGAGGCCGGGTTCTGAGTAGCACGGAGTTGGAGTTTCCCTCCCCTGGTTGTCTGTCCCCCCTGGAGCGCCGTCCTAGCCTCGGCATTGCTGGTGAACCCGGCTTCTTGCTCCCTAAGGCGCGTCTAAGCGGTGCCGTGCCCTGGGCGCGCCCGAGCCCCCCGAGGTCACAATGTGCGCCGACCGCCCGTGGGGCGCCCCGCTCCCGCGCCACGGCCTGCCTGGACCGCCGGGTCGCCGCCCGGCGAGGCGGACGGGGCCGGGGGCGCGGGGACCCGAGCCAGCGAGGGCGCCGGCTTCCCCGGAGGCCGCGGGCGGCCGAGACGGTAACCACGCCCTGGGCAGATGGTGCAGACTCGCGTCTTTGTTGTTGTTGTAAAGGGGGAAGCGTCCTCACCCTCTAGTTACACACCCGTTTTGTGAATTTCTGGATGTAACCGTGCGAGAATCTCTTTCCCTAATGAGTTAGGATAGCGGGTAAAATTGAAGAACCCTATAGTCCTACCACAGAATGAAAATAAGCCTTTTTTTCTGATTATAAGAATTATACAATTTCATTGTTTTTAGAAATAAATCCAAGCAATATTAAGCACATATAAAGAAAGGAAGAAAATACTCGAAATTCCATCAGCCACAGATAACCATCAAAAAAACCACTGTTCACATTTGGGTTTACTTCAGATATATGCATTATGAATATGTATTTACATGATCATATTTATAAAATGTATTTATTTTTGTATAACTGTATGTTTTTAATATAATAAAGCATATTCATTTAAAAAGCAGATTATGCCTTAGTAACATTTCAGGAACACGTGTCTATGTCAAATGTAGGTATGCATTACCATTCTTTTTCTTTTTTTATTGAAGTAACATTGGTTTATAGCATTATATAAATTTCTTGTGTACATCCTTATATTTCAATTCCTGTGTAGATAACATCATGTTCCCCACCCAAGGACTAATTACCATCCATCACCACACACATGTGCCTAATCACCCTTTTCACTCTCCTCCCTCCCCCCCTCCCCTCTGGTAACCAATCCAATCTCTGTTTCTATGTTTGTGTGTTGTTATCTACTGTTTATGAGTGAGATGAGACTGTATTTGACTTTCTCCCTCTGACTTATTTCGCCTAGCATAATACCAAGTCAAGGTCCATCCATGTTGTCACAAATGGCTGGATTTTATCATTTTTTATGGCTGAGTAGTATTCCATTGTGTATAAATACCACATCATCTTTATCCATTCGTCCCTTGATGGGCACCTAGGTTGCTTCAAAGTCTTGGCTGTTGTGAATATGCATTACCATTAATAGATGCATGGTATTTCTTGCTATGGCATACTGTGCCATATATTATTTAACCAATCCACTAATGATATTTGTTTTTCCAGTTTCTTCATCATCAGAAAATAGCATAGTAGTGGTTACTTGAACATATACATGTTTGCATTTTTGTCCAATTTATCTTCTTAGAATAATTCCTGGAAGTGGACTGTGGCTTAGAAATTATGGTACTGTTTAAATTCTGATTCATAATGCCAGAGTGCTCTCTAGAAAAATTGATATCTACAACCCCCCCCACCCCCCCCCACCGGGAGTAAGGGTGCAGATTTCTCCACACTGACTAGCACTAAGTATTGAAAAATCTTACCAATCTAAAAGGATATCTTAATGTTTTTATTTGCTTGATTTAATGATATTAAACATATTTTTCTATGTTTAGTAGTCATTATTTCTTTGGAAATCATCTCTTTTCTCTGTTCTGCAGGTGTGTGACTGTAGTAGCTTTCTAAGAGGAATTTGAATTAGTGAGTTTTAACCTGTTAGAATTATTTCCCCCTTTTGTTGTCTCTTTGGATTCTGGTTGCCTTGTTTTGTTTTCTAATATTGCGGCTTAGAGCCGCAGGCTAACCTCCCCAGAGGCAGGGGATTTGTTGTAACTCTGCAGTGGCCTCCCTGTAGTGGTTAGAATCTAACTACTCACCCAGCCCCTCTGTCCTAGTTTAAAGTCCTCTCCTTCCACCCTTGAGATCCTTTCACTTGCAACTAGCTAAACCTAGGATGACACTGAGTCTTAAGATTTTTGAAGAGAGGGTACTGCCGGGCATTTTGGTCAATATTCTCTTTATTTATCTTCAAAATATAAGCTGCTCTAGCTTCTACGTGAAAGTTCCCCCCCAAGTAAAGAGAAAGGATTATCAGGTCTTTATGTCAAAAGAAAAGAAAAAGAACTGGCAGTTACCTGTGGACCTTACTTAAGCTTGTATTTTATTATTTGCAAACACCCATGTTCATACGTTCAAGAAAAAAAGTAAGTGTGCCATAATTTAAATGCAAAGAAAATAACATACTAATCACCATATAGTATAGTACACATGCCATAAAAAACTCTCATTGGGCTTTAGCGTTGTCTAGGACGCCTAGCCCCGAGTCCTACTCCATTTCTGTCCCTACTTTCCTCTATTCTATCTTTTTAGTCGGTAGTTTTGTATTGCATGAACGTTGAATGGTGTAATACTTCTCACAAAGCACCATTTTACTTACATATATATCATATTAATATGTATTTTATATATATCATGTTACATATTACATGTTATGTACATCACATATGTAACATTTTGTATATTTATATATAATCTGATTTAAACTGCACAACCTACTGAAATAATTCCTTTTTCCAATGTAGAAAGTAAGATCTAAGCCCTACTTTACTGCTAACATTTATTTAGTCCTTACATGGGTCAGAGACTTTGGAATTTATACAAACACTACTTCAATAACTGAAGTTTTGCAAAATTACATTTTGGGACTTTTTTTTTTAAAGATTTAATTTTTTTCCTTTTTGTCCTCAAAGCCCCCTGGTACATAGTTGTATATTCTTCGCTGTGGGTCCTTCCAGTTGTGGCATGTGGGACGCTGCCTCAGCGTGGTTTGGCGCCCAGGATTCGAACCAACGAAACACTGGGCCGCCAGCAGCGGAGCGCGCGAACTTAACCACTCGGCCATGGGGCCAGCCCCACATTTTGGGACTTTTATGGTTGAAGTTTTCCTGTGGTAACTACCAAAAATAATGTCACTAAATCTTTATTCTTCTAGATTTGATAGTGTAATCTAGTTCACCTTGAAAGGATTTTACTTAAGATCTAAGCCTTTGCTCCTCTGACTCCTTTGCCTCCATAGAATCTTCCAAGCATGCCTTTTTAATTAGTGCTTTTTGTCTCATGTAGCATTTCTTTAGAGTTGATTTTTTTAAAAATAAGGAGTGACTTATTTTAAACTCTGTTCTTTTCTAGGTTTTTCTTTAACTCAAAAACTAAAGCCAGTGAAGGTACATTGAAATAAGGTAGGAAGTAGAAAAAAATAAAATGCTTTGGTTTGTCCTTACATGTTTAAGTGAAGATATTCTACTATGCTCAATGATTACACTAAAAACAAAAGGATCTTCACATCAAAATTGAGAAAGCAATCATATTTTAAGAATATTCAGGGCATTATGAAATGTTGGCAGATCGAGTCCCAAAAACTGAGGACATGATTCAAAATCCAGAAGACCTAGATCATACAATTGACTATTTAGAATAAATCTTAGTGGGTTTTTTTTTTGAGGACGATTAGCCCTGAGCTAACATCTGCTGCCAATCCTCCTCTTTTTGCTAAGGAAGACTGGCCCTGAGCTAACATTGTGCCCATCTTCCTCTACTTTATATGTGGGACACCCACCACAGCATGGCGTGCCAAGCGGTGCCACGTCTGCACCCGGGATCTGAACTGCCAAACCCTGGGCCACCGAAGTGGAATGTGCGCACTTAACCACTGCGCCACTGGGCCAGCCCTGTTACATGTCTTCTTACTCTTCAATACTACAAGGTCACTTCACTTTTTTTACGGTATTTTACATCCTAAACCTGGAACTTTTCCAATGAAGTCTTATTTGTGTAGCCCACCTGCTACTAAGCTTTTGGATCACTTTACTATTTATATGATAGCATTGTTTCTCATTGTCCCATATGTTAGTTATATTTTAGCCAGCAGCTTGAGGAGATAAACCACATTTGTATACATGCAGTTTTGAACATAGGTAGGAACAAACTTTTTTTTTGAGGAAGATTAGCCGTGAGCTAACGTCTGCCGCCAGTCCTCCTTTTTTGCTGAGGAAGACCGGCCCTGAGTTAAGATCTGTGCCCATCTTCCTCTACTTTATATGTGGGACGCCTGCCACATCATGGCTTGTCAAGTGGTGCATAGGTCCACACCCAGGATCTGAACCAGCGAACCCCAGGCCGCTGCAGCAGAGCGTGCCACCAGGCTGGCCCCAGGAACAAACTGTTTGTTGGTTGATGAATAAAACTTTGGATCTCAAAAACATATAATATTATATCATAAATGTGGATAATACATTCTGCAATGACGAAAACTGTTATTGAGGCAAAAGGTCTCAGTTCATTTACTTTATTATTTTAATTGCTATAAAGGATAATGTATTTAAGAGAACTTTGAACTCTTCTGAATAAATATTGCTGTTTTAGTAATATTTTGAAGGTTATCAACTTTGAGAACAAGCAAAGCCCCACTTCATGTTCCTGTCCCAGTGTGTCTCAAATAGGCTTAAATCGGACCCTCGGACTTATCCTGAAAGCTTCCTACTTTTGAACCTCCCATTCTCTCAACCACAGAGTGCTGTTACTTCTCCTTTCTTAATCTCAAATTCACCTACTCTCTCCACCCCCCTCAGTACAAATCTAGTCTGGGCCATCATCATCTATTTTCTTGGTTACTTCAACAGCCTCCTAATTGGTCCCACTGTCTTGCCCTCATCCAGTCCACACCATACCCAGAGCAGTATTTTTGCTACACAACTCTGGCTTTTCATGTTTTTTCCCAGTGGCCTCTGAAGATAAAATCTAAGCGTCTTGGGGAAGGCCTACAAGGCTGCACAAACATCCTTGCTCACCTTTCTAAACTATGCTTTTGTCACTCAAGCCATACTACTGTATTTACAGTTACCTGAATGCAAGAGCTGTCATCTTTAACCCTTGACACAAACTGCATCTTCTGCCTTAGACACACTTAAAACTGCTTCTTTATTCCCACTTTAACTGGCTCCCAGTGGTTGTGCAAGATGGAGCTTGGATATCTCCTCTTGTAAGAGCTTTCCTTAAACCACTAGACCAGGGGTTAGTAAACTACCTGGCCTGTTTTTATATAGGTCATGAGCGAACAGTGTTTTTTACATATGTAAAAGATTGTAAAAAAAAAAAAAAAAAAAAACCATGCACCAGAGACTATTTGTGGCTTACAGAGCACTAGTCTGATAAGCTTTCTAAGAGATGCTGTCTTATTCAGTTAGGTCACTTCAGGTACTATTGTGCCTGGCGCTAAACTAATTTAGCAAATATTTAACTGACCAAATTTCCTATTTTTAACTTCTGTCTTAGAAAATAAGACACTCGGGCAAAGCTCTTTATGAGAATTCAGATGATAGTGAGTATCTCATTTGCTTTTAAAAGGACAGCACAGCAAAGCAGACACCAGCCGGATCGGGCTTCAATGTATGTGAACACAAGGCACAGGCCTCCAGGTGTACATAAATAGCTCTCCATTTTATAGCTGCTTTTTGCTGCTTCTACCTCTTAATCCTTCTGTGTAGGAAGGAATGACGGAATGTTGGAATTCTTTCTTCTTCAAGTAAGAACTTGCTTAATAGGACCTATGGTCTTTTTTGGTTTTTGTTTTTAGAGAGCCGATCATCTGAATTTCTAGGACTTCTTGCAGTAAGTATTTTTCTGTATTTCCTTTCTACCCACCTACCCACTTAACTAGTTATTGCCTCCTAGATCCTGGTGCATTTTCTATGGTTAAATGATGCTTTTAATTTCTGTATCAACACAGATTCTCTTTGCTGGTTTCTCCAAAATAGTATTTTCTTCCTCTAGTTTCTCATTACAGTCTCTTTTGGCTTTTGTTTCTTCCTCATGGAATAAATGTGGGTGCTCAATGCGTCCCCTACGTACAAAATGCTGGATCCGGGATTCTAATCCTTGGCATTTAGGACGATCCATTAGGGGCTTATACGTGCGCATTTTCACTCCTTCTACAAAGGCACTGGTCTGCTTTATGACAGAAGGCGTAACATTTCTCCATTCTATCACTCCATCCATCTTTGGTCCTGTAATATATATAATCCAGCATTACATGGATACTTCACCACAACAGAATCACCTCCAAACTTTATATAAAGCCACCTCCCCCGTAACTCTGTATAACTTTGGTTCTGGTAAGTGATTTTATCCTTGGATTTCCCTGGCGTACCTGTCCCACAGGGTACTGCAGCAGAGTCCAGTCCTTGCAGCATACTATACACTATGTGAGTTTTAACAGCCTGATTAGCCCAGAGTTGTTGTAGGTGGGTAACATTGAACTCCTGAACCTCCCGGTCATAGATCCACTTGATGTTTTCAAATTTACAATCATATAGGACTAGAGGAAATTCTACAGCCATACTAGAGAGAAAGAGAAGAAATAGGGTATGAGAATACATAACAGCCATCCAACAGTTCTTAAAAAATGGGGTTAGTTGGGTTTAAAGGAGGGGAAAAACTTTGTCAATATTAAGTATTTAATAGGTAAGAAAATATAACACCATCCCTAACTTTGAATAACTTGATAATTAAAAAAAGAAAAAGGCAATAAACCATGGATCAACTGGTTAGGCTTGCTCTAGATGAGGATAAATTTCAATGGTAACAAGTCACCTAGAAGTGAGTCAACTTGCTCCACCATACTGCTATAAAATTAAAAACAGCTGGTGGCATTTTTCCAAACTTGTCCAAACAAAATTATACAAATTTTGTACAGTATGGAGTAAAAACTAGATTTCCCTGCCTAGGAATGAATTATTGGTCTGTCTGACCTCAGCCTGCTCTTAAAAGAAAAGCCTGACTATTCTTCCTGCCTTTCCTACCATTTCAGAAACTGAAAATTAGGAAAAATAAAAAAGTACAGTAGTATGACTACTCCATAATACAAAGCAAGCAAGATTTAATATGAACAGTTGAATGCTCAGCTTTTAACTTCACCAGAACCTAATGATATACCTCTTAACACAAATTCAGAAAACAGAGAGAGAGAGAAATGAACGTCCTTTTATTTAAGGGCCTGGTCCAAACAGCTATTTGTTACTAAAGGGATGGAACAATGACAGAAGAAAATTAAAAGATACCACTCCCTCCTATGTGTTCATAACATTCTACAAGTTAGATTAAAAGTTTCATGAAGACAGAATCTGTGATTTACTATTTAGACAACTGTGAGGAGAGGAAGATATGTTAGAATACATTTTAAAATATTCTAAGGGCAATAGCTGTTTGTGTTCGGGGTTTTTTTTTTTTTTTAACTTACCTGTATTGAGGTTTCTGGGGATTTTTCTGTATGTTCAGCAGCTCATCAATAACCTCCGGCTTCTCCATTCCTTGGCCAATCAGAAAAAGGATGGCCATCATACAACGGACTTGATGATACAGGAAGGCCTGGCCAATCACTTCAAACTGACACAGCTGGAAAGGTTCTTGCCCTCTCTCCTCAGCCAGGCTCTGGCCCACTAGCTGTACTTGAGCAGACAGAATAGTCCTCTGAAAATTAATCACTCCGTTGGCTACATCCATTTTACATAAGTTCCTAAAATCATGTGTGCCAACATACTTCTGAGCTGCAGAGTTCATGGTTATAATGTCTAAATCAGCACGAGGGAAAAAATAGCGGTAAGTCCGCTCAAGACAGCTGAACCTAGCACTGAAGCTGGGTTCTACAGGGGCCCAGGCCAGTACACGGATGTCTGGAGGGAGCACCCGATTGAGAATGTGGGTATAACGGATCTCTTTAGCAGCATCATTGACTTCATCTTTTAAATTAAAATCCTCTGAATCCCTGCCATTTGGAAAGTGAGAACGAAGGTCAAGAGAAATCACCTGTGGAATTAGAGAAAGATACTGTGTTTCAGAGATACAACCAACCTGAATCCTCAGTTTGTACACCTAGAACACATTGGTATTGCTTGCTCTGAGTAACAGTAGAGTGGCCCTTACCTGTCCAAAGGCGCTAACTCCTTTGTCTGTTCGCCCACACCGGTGATAGTTGGATGTCTGTCTACTTTCTACTAGTCGAGTCTTGGTTAGAGCCTCAAAGAGTTTCTCTTCAATTGTATTGTTTGTGTTTTCTTGACTGGCAAAGCCCTGGTAGCCCCAGCCCAGATAGGCTATCCTTAGGGCTACGTGTCTTCGACCATGAGCACTGAAATCAAATGCACGCTTAGCTTTCCCAGTTCCTGAATAATTTTCTCTAATATTTGAGTCCTTGTTGTTGGTCTGTTCTTTAAGTCTTTGTACCTCCTGCTCCAGTTCTTGTACTCTTTTTAGGAGTTTCTCAGTCTGGATTCTGTCTATGTCATTTTCAGCCATGATAAGACAACTCCAGGAATAAATCAATCATATAGGTCCACCCTACCTGAAAAGAAGGGAACAGGATGCAACAGTTTCAGCGCTGATTCCTTTGGTGGTGTCAGTATCATGTCATCAGGTTCAAATAGTATCTGAGATTTAATTTAATGCCTAAAGGATATAGATTTTTGCTTCTGCCCAGGGATACAAGCATTAGCTTAATTATTATGGGTTGACCATCCACAGATATTATTCTTTTCCATCCTGTCTGGCCAATTCACAGGGGAAAAGGAAAATAGTAGCAAAAATTATTCAGCTTGCATTGTTGTGATTTAAGTAGTCAGAATTTAGGGGAAATCTCTGTAGATTTCATTTCTCTATTCTTCATTAGCCGAGATGATTGAGGACTGATGTTACGGGTATTTTTTTCCCTAAACATTTCCTTTTGACTTCTCATTATATTTGTCCAGTCTTTCTAATCATAAGATCTGTTTATATGGAATATAAACGTCTACTCTGAGTTTCTACTGCTTTCCAATATTTCAGGTAAAATTAGTGACTTGTATGTTCTATCATCTAATACTCAGTTCTATCTTAAAGGTGGTACAATAAGAGCTAGCTTGACTGCAGAAACCTGTCAATGATTGTACTTCATATTGGAAGTAGAACCTGGAGTAGAGATTTTCCCACTTGAAGCAGTTTTGATGGCAGAAAGAAGGTAATTAAGCATCAGGATCCTTTTTTTAAGTCAAATTTAATACATGTTCTGATAAAAGATTTCTCTACCTCTAGCAGCTAGAAGAGTCAGTCTTGATAATGTAATTTAGATGTCAGTGTTGAAATTCTTGGCATATTTCAATAGTCTGAAGATAGCTGTACTATATTCTTAAAATTGGGACAGTACTAGACAATCTATGACTGATGGTTACTTTAGTTATAGAAGATCATCTCCACATGTGTTACTAAGGCTATGTTAAGTCTAGGTAGCTCATTTAATTTTTTGCCCTTTGAATTTCTATATCTATGATAGCTTAAAAATTTAAGTGTAAGAAATGAAACTATAAAAGTACTAGAAGAAAATATGGAATAAACTTTCTTAAAATCTGGGAGTGGGAAAGGCATTTCTAAGTAAGACACTTCAGAAACCCAGAAACTACAGAAAACCAAAAAATATGACTACCTAAAAGTAAAAGTTTCTACTAGCAAAAAATAAAGTCAGAAGGTAAACAACAAACTGGGAAGAAAAAATTAATGACAGCAAAGGGCTAACCTCCTTAATACATAAGTATTTCATGAATATATAAATCCATTTTAATATAAAGATCAATTTAAAAAAATCCAACATCCTGAGAGGAAAAGGAGAATAGAACAAGCATTTCATACAAAAAAGGAGAAAAAACCTATAATGTATGAAAAGATGCTGAATTTTACTCAATTTAAATAAATTTATGAGAGAACTGTTTTTTACCAAACTGACTGCAAAGACTAGAAAATTTGATACTACACCACTTTGGAGAAACAAGCTCTGTCATACACTGCTGTTACAACTGTTTTAGGGGGCATTCGGCAACAGCTATCAAAATTGAGCACAACGACCTTTTGACCCACTTATTCCATTTCTAGAAATTTAATATACACATATGCTTGCACAAGTATGTAAAAATTTATAAGATATTGTAACATTTATTTTTAACAACAAAAGATCGTAAGCCTTAATTAAATCAGTCAGGGACTGGCTAAATAAACCATGGTACACCCTTACATTGGAATTCTCTGCAACTTTAAACAAAACGAAGTAAGTCTACATGTGCTGATACAGCTGGCTCACCAAGAATGTCTTAAAGGCACAGAAGAGTTGTATAATATATGCTCCTTTATGGTATAAAAAACATGCATATGAAAATGGAAAATTACTGGAGAAATTATAAGAAACTGCTTTTGAGAGCGAAACTTGGTAGAAGGAGGGGAAATCCTTGCTTAAAATTACCATGTGCTGCATGTATTCGTTTTTCAGTTTAAAAAGAAAAATAGTAGGGACACAGGAAATAGTGGGCAGTAGATACCTATCCTGGATCCAGTGAGGAAACTAGCCCTGGGTATTTAGCTGGTCGATTTGGATATTGAAAGTTATTTCAGTGACAGGGTACTGGGATGAACAGATTTAGCTTGGCAACTGAAGATGCATTAAGATTACTTAAGCATAAGGAGTGTATGCATGCACATTACTGCTTTTTGTGATGATTTTTGGCATTAAATCACCCTTGTGGTTAAAAACAAGGACTCTTAAGCCAGACGCCCTGAGTTAGAATTCCAGCTCTACCACTTCTAGCTGTATAATCTTGGGCTAGTTATTTAACCTTTCTCTGCCTCACGTTACTCACCTGTGAAAAGGAGCTAATAAGAGTACCTATCCTACGGCTGTGAAGATTACATGAATTAATATCTGTAAAGCACTTAGAACACTGCTGGATACATAAAGTGTCCCTCTAAGTACAAGTTACATAATGTACGTTAAGCATTATACCCCATATCATGTAGTCTCAAGTTTTTCTTGTGCCAGAAGCCACCTGTCCTGTCCTAGGAGCTACTAAAGGTGGCAAGAACTACCAGGCAGTAGAAAGTAAGAGTGAGTAAGAAGAGTGGAAATGAAAGCAGGTAACAGATTCTCTAGAGCTGAGTTAATGCCCCTCCAAACTGTTCCCATACTACCCTGTACTAATCTGTATTTTATTACACAGTCATGTGTCACTTAACTATGGGGATACATTCTTAGAAATGAATCATTAGGCAATTTAGTCATTGTGCAAACGTCATAGAGTATACCTACACGAACCTAGATGATATAGCCTACTACATACCTACGCTGTGTGGTACTAATCTTAGGGGACCACCATCATATATGCAGTCTGTCATCGACTGAAACATCGTTATGCAGAACATGACTGTATATCTATTGTACTTAAGATTGCTTTAGCCATTCTTTTTCCATTTGACTGCTATAAAATAATAGACAAGAAGGGAATGAACAGTTTATGAGCCGGGAATTTATTATCAGAAAACTGATCAGTGTTTTCTCTTGCAGAAGGTCCTACAGTGTAGGGGAAGCAATGGAGGAACTCATGGGACCTGATGGACAAAAATGGGCCAATATGGATCCAGAAGAACGAATGTTAGTAGCTGCTACAGCTTTTACCCATATCTGTGCAGGGCAGGGTGAGGGAGATGTCAGAAGAGAAGCCCAGTCTGTCCAATATGATCCCTACAGTAAAGCGTCAATAACCCCAGGAAAGCGATCTGCTCTTCCTGTGCACGTGCAGTACCCACATGTAGAAAATAATGTCACTTCAGAAACAGTCTCAGAGGCCTCCCAAAGACTCCGGAAGCCAGTGATGAAGAGAAAAGTGCTGCGCAGAAAGCCAGGTGGGGAAGTATTAGTGACAGATGAGTCGATCGTCAGTGAATCGGAGTCTGGTACAGAAAGTGATGTGGATCTCTGGGACTTAAGACAAAGGCTGATGAATCTGCAGTTTCAGGAAGACAGGGAATCCCCAGTTGATACTTCACAAAAATTTAATCTACCACATGAATACCAAGGGATTTCTCAGGATCAGCTCATTTGTTATCTAGGAAGAGAAGGAATAGGCCCTCCAGCGTATGAACAAGACCTGATTGTTGCCAGCCGACCCAAGTCCTTTATTCTCCCAAAGCTGGACCAGTTAAGCCGAAACCGGGGCAAGGTAGACCGGGTAGCCCGGTATTTTGAGTACAAACGAGACTGGGACTCAATGCGGTTTCCTGGTGAAGATCATAGGAAGGAATTACGCTGGGGTGTCCGGGAGCAGATGCTCTGTCGAGCAGAACCCCAGTCGAAGCCTCAGCACATATATGTTCCCAACAATTACCTAGTACCAACTGAGAAGAAAAGATCTGCCCTTCGTTGGGGTATTCGTTGTGACCTTGCAAATGGTGTCATGCCCAGGAAGCTTCCCTTCCCTCTTTCTCCTTCTTAAGTCTTTTTTTTTTTACCTCTCTCTTCACAGGATTGTTTGGGGTAACCTGGTTCTTTATAGCTCTCCTTTTATTTAAACAGAAACAACTAATTTGAAAGCCCATGGGACATTATAGAGTAAGGACTTCAGTCATCCTTCGTCTTTTCTAGGTATTATCAGATACCTTTTGGTATCAGATACCATTTAACTTCCTAATTACCACTCTCAAATCCAGCAATTGCAGCAGTCATGCCAAAGAAAGAAAAACAGACCTGGTCTTTCTGTTTTGTCACATTAGTAAGCAAAGTCAGTTAGCGCTATTTCTGTTCTATAACCTTTTAGCCTTTGGCCAATGTGAGTTGTTGTTTTTACTAGTGTTTTTAAAGTTGCTCGGCATTAAGCTTATCCATTAAAGAATTTTGGAAATTTGTGAACTTGACCTTACTTTTACTTCCCAAAGGAAGATGATCTCAAACTGGGTTATGATTCGGCTACATCATACTCTCAGCACCTAAATAATGAGAGCCAAAGGGAAGAAACAAAAACTTGCCCTTTACCCACACAATCCTAAAGGAAGGAAGAAAGGTAACAGGACTTATCCGCCATTACTAAAGGAATATAGAAAATCGAGATAACTGAGTTAAGTTCTTTGTAATAGATGCTCAATAACAGCACTATATGACATACAGGATTCTAACCCAAGTTTTGTTTCAGAATTACTTCAATAATATATTACTCTCCAGTTGTTACTTCTAGAATACTGTGCTTTTTAAAAAATTTGTCACTGAGATTTCCTTAGAAATTACGCCTGTCAATTGAAGGCTATTCCCCCTGCAACAGAACTTCACACTACTGCTATCTGGAACCAGGTGCAGACATAAATACCAAAATGAATTTGGGTACAGACCAAAACACTAATTCTGCTCACCTTAAATTGGATCATCTATTTGTTCTTGATGCTTCTAATCCAATGAGGAACATATAAAATCTGGGGGTTGTCAGTTTTGGCATTTGAAGCCAGAAGAATGACAGCAGAAAAAATTTGCTTGCTCAAGGAAAAACAGCTGTGTACCATAAAAATGAATGACCTTGACCATTCCTATCTGCCAAAATGCATTTTGTCCATAATATTTAAGCTACATCATTCATACATTCACCCAGTTCCATTGCTAGGCATTTATAAGGGAAAGAAATAATGAGTGACTCATACACATAGGATATATTCACTGCAAATAAGTAAAAACAAACTACCCAATAGTAAAGGGATTAAATGGACATTACAATATTAGTCACTGGGAATATGGGAAGCTAATGGAAAATGCAAATTAGGTGAAAGAGGTTGCAAATGATACAGTATGATCTCAGTCATACACCCATATACAGACAAGGCACAAGAAAAGATCAAAGCCTAACTGCGTAGTGGGATTAAAGGTAGTGTTTATTTATACCTCTATTTTAAAAAGTTAAAAGCCACATGGCATTTTTTACATGCAAATTACAGCAAAACAGTCCAATGATTTACCTTCTTTACATGTATCTCAAGGCCCAATGTTAGCAAATAAAAGTTTCCAAGGTTATCTAGTTCAACCCTTATTTAACCAAAGAACTAGTCCAAACAGGTTAAGCGGGTAACACAAATTAGTGGCAAAACGAGGAGCTGAGCTGAAGACTCCTCATTCAGTGCTTTCTCCAGCACACCGTACCATCCGCAAGGTGAAATACAGTGGTTCTCAAGCAGACGTGTAACACCCGAAGGGGGCTGCCAAATACCAGAAAGAGGGAATTGCTGCGTGCCCTAAGCATCGACTGTAAATACTAAAACAGCCACCGCTAGAGTTTCAATACATTTTTTAAAGTTAAAAACGGGTTTTAGTCCCGAAAATACTAGTAACCAGTTGAGTAGTACAAAGAGCCTTCCCCATGATCAACTTTATTGTAACCAAAGAAGGAAGGAGGGGTAATATCCAGAGAATCAGGAAGCACGCACCATGATCACTAATGAAAAACGATTGCGGGGCAAGTAATGGCCCAATTTGAAAAATGTCGCCACGCCTCTCTCCCACCCGACGTACGACTGGGATCCCGGCCTCTAGCAGTATTCCGTTTTATGAGCAAACAGAATTCTGAGGCAGCAAAGACTTAACTCCACAGTCCAAGGGTTCCCTAAGAATCGAATTAAAGATCTTAGCGCTGCGAGTTTCTGCCAGGAGCTCCAAGAAGCACCACAGACAGAAAAACAAGGTCTTAAGTGAGGTCCCACACTTCACACACCGGTGCTTTCCTGAAAAGATCAAAGTATGAGAAAACGGTATGAGAGGAGAAAGAGAAACCTCCAACTGCTTATCCATTTTACCGTTCCTCTTTGTAAAACCTAGAAAATAACTCACCCCAAAAGACCCACACTTACCTTCCGGTCGTGGGCCACGCAGCTTTTCACGAGACAGGAAACTGTTGCTTTGCGTCTTCTACGCGCGCACGCGAGGCCTCATGGGAAATGTAGTCCACCTTTGTGGGAAATGTAGTTCTGAGAGCCGGGGGTGCAGGCGCTGAAATCTGCCTGTTTTCTAGTCTGTCCACCATTTCTCTACCTCCGACAAGGCAGAATCAGGGGCCTGTCGTAGTACAAGAATAAAAGATAGGATAAATTCTAGTATACTAAAATAATGGAAAAGTAATTTTTCAAGTGTCGCTGTCCTCATATGAAAACTAAAGAAGCTGGCACGATTTTATACCTACTTAAATTAGTAGAAAGTTACCATTGAGAGATAAAACATTTACTATTAGAATCCACATGTAAAGGCTGAAAAGGAATATGACATCCTCAAAACAAACAACTGAGGTGCCTAAGAGTGACCGAACAGAGCTGAGGAGTCTTGCTTCAGCACCACGGAGAGATCATGAGTAGGTTTTTACGGGTTTTTCCAGAGGTGCTGATCCAAATTTCAAGATTCCCGTCAGGAAACTGGAAAAAAATCTGGTTCTTCTGTCCGAATTTAGCCATCAGTAGTACCAGGGATCTATCCTGGATTGTGAAGGTGCAAGTAGGAGGTGGAAGTTGTAAGGAAAACAGTTTTCTCACGATTGTTTTAGCAAGGGAGACATATTAGAAATAAAATTAAAATAAGCCGGTACGTGGAAACATCACGGTATCAAGGAACAGAGATAGTAGTTAAAATTGATCAACTTTACTTTCTCTCAGCATCTTTCGCATTCAAATTCATTTGCCAGGTGGCACACCCATTTTGACCCTCCACTTTCCTATGCAATTCGCTAGCCTTTCTGAGGTCTTGTAATGTAGAAGCGGGAATTTTGGGGGAAACGCGAGGGAGAGAGCTTGAAGCGGGTTGGGGTGGGAGGGGGGAGTCCAGCCTCACCTCCAGGAGAATTGTCTGGGTAGTGGGCGGTGGGGTAAATAAGGGAGGTAGGACTCTCAAATCGGTAAGAAGACTGCTGCCAATTAAGAGTCCCAAGCTGTTGTTGGCTTAGCAGAGCTCAGCAGCAGGCGACTGTTCACCAGGATCGCGCCCCCTCCCCGGTTTCTAACACCTGGCCCGGGATCTGGGCTGGCCAAACAAAAATCTGGCTGATCTGTGCAGTTCTACCCCTCCTCCTGCGGGCCCCTCCCTCCGCTCCCCACCCCTCCCCCTTCCCAGGCTCCGGCGCTTGCGCGCCGCGCAGCGGGTGGTCACGGGCGCATAACCCTGCCCCCTGAGAAAGCCCATTGGTCGCCGAGTGGGGCCAGGCACTGCCTCGCGCCTGTGCTGGACGCACGTGCTGGGGGCGGGAGCAGCGATCGCAGCTATGGCGTCGTTACTTTGGGCAGGCGATGCCGGGGCGGCGGAGAGCGAGCGGCTGAACAGCCACGTAACCGCCACCGAGCCGGGGAGGGCAAAGGGGCGGGGGCTCGAACAGCACTCCCAGAGGGAAGTCTGCTGGGGAGGGGTAGGGGAGCCTCGCTAGCCTTTGGAGTGGGGTGTCAGATGGTGGAGGGGAGATGTGGCAAGGATTTGGAAGAGGGTCACGGGAAAGGAGACCACAAGAGAGAAAAAGACCTTTGCTTTGAAAGGGCAAAGTGAAGACACTTGGAAGTGCCGGGAGGGAAAGCAGCTGGTAGTCCCAACTAGACTCTGAGCTTTCTGGTCTCCCAATTTGACCATTTAGCCTCGGCTGGCTTTTACCTTATCGATCAAAGCGCTTTCCTATCCGCCATCCCTTGCTTGTGCTGTGACCCCCAAGGACTGCCACATTTAGACTAGAGGCCTTTAAAGAGGAACTTCACGTCCAGGGGCAGCAGAAAGTCTCCACCAATTTTAGGATAATTCATTCAGGAGGCCTATTCCTGTAAGGAATCCATTGTTACCTAACACTGTAGTATTCGGGTGATCTTCCCTGCCTCCCTTCCAGCGCCTGTTAGGGGGGAGCACTGGGCTGCTTGATGGCTTGCTTCCTAATATTGGTTGAAATTTGTGTCTTTCAATAGTTTTCAAACCTCATCCACCCCCGGAAGAACCTTCGGGGTATTAAGAGTACTACAATCCCAAACGTAGGTGAGTGTTGTTAGGGTAAAGCAGATTGGCCTTAATTAATTAAAAAGCGTTGCTTTCCTCATGTCCCTGGCAACTGAGATACCTTTGGCTCCCATAATTTAACATTCAGGGCCTTCGGTTACCTTCCCAATCTTTTTACCCACTCCTCCCCTGGATGACCCTTCCTGTCAGTGCACACAGTCATCAAGAGAAATTGGGATAATACACTTTACATTTCTGTTCAGAATATATTGTTACGTGTATTATTTCTCTTCTATCCTTTTAGATGGTTCTATTAATAACACCGAAGATGATGATGAAGAAGATGTAGGTAGGAGATAAATTCATTTGCATGTATCTACTAGCATTCTGTTTCAGTTAATCGTGACTTGGACACTATGAGTGAATAATCTTAATTGCAAAAGAACTGTCTTTGCTTCTATTTTCTTTGTAAATAGTGAGTATCAGAAGAAATACTAAATTAGGAGTGGGGTGTGTTTATTTAGAGGAAGTTGAAATGGAATATGCAGGAATGAGTTAAGAATTTTCAGCTGACAAAGAAAAATTAGGTCTAGTGGCAATGGGTGTAGGCTTGCTTGAGTTTACTGTAATAGCAGAGCATAAAAAACTGGATCCTCATGAAAGGAATTCTCAGTGCTACATCATTCTTTCTAGAACCTTCTTTTAGAAGAAAGGTGAGAGTCGGAGCAGTTGCTTGGTATAGAAACACTAAATGGGAGGGAGCAACTTACTAGATGTCATTGAAGAGGCTTGATTTTTTTCCCCTGCAATATCCCCTTTTTTTTACTCTTGCTCTTTCTAGTGGATTTGGCATCTAATTCACTTTTAAACAAGTTAATCCGACAATCCTTAGTAGAATCCAGTCACCGAGTCGAAGTTTTACAAAAGGATCCCAGCTCTCCACTCTACTCAGTGAAAACGTTTGAAGAGCTGCGGCTGTGAGTATTTTTACTCTTTTAGTATGGGAAAATGCTGGAAAGCATAGCACAGAACCAACTACACTGCCAATAATAAAACCATCAGAATTGCCTTCGTGTTCTAATATTCAATATTAAAATGGGCTGTATACATTTTGCATGCAATTAAAATATAGCTCAAAGAGGAACACTAGGATACCTGAATTCTCCAATGAATTGAGAACATTTTTCATGGTAAAATATTTTAACCTTACTGTGCTGAGGGGGATAGCTAAGCGTGACACAGCCATATTGCTACTCTCCATTCTAGAATACAGAGGCAGGGACATTGTTGACCCACATATCCTCTCCCATCTCCTTTAGTTACAAGCTTTTTCCTTCCTAATTATATTTTGTTTCAAATGGTATTAAAATGAATAACTTTCCAAAATGGGTTTTCATATCCTAGGAATTTATGAGTTGGTATTAAGGAAATGTATTTTAACAAAGAGATTTCCTGATACAGACTTATGTAAAGGGAGAAAATCCAAACTTCTAAGGCTCAGACCTTTTCTAAATGGCAGGAGAAGCCTACATATAATTCTAAGTTGGCTACCAGCTATCTACAATTAAGCACATCCAAAATGTGCATGTCATTGAAGGTGGAAGTGTTCCAGCCTACTTCTCTTTCCTCTTTCTAACATCTATCATGAGACCCCAGGAAAGATGCATTTAAAAATACTGGCTCAGGAGAATGAGGTAATATTATGTCTTCTGCTCCTAGAGAGAGTTGATAGAAGAATCACCTAAATAAAATTTTGTCTTCTCTGACATTAGTGGTAAAACATCAAAGTTTGTCATTCATTTAAAAGAATTAAACAGTAAATCTCAATTGGTTTTCTGCTTGTGTGGAAAATAAAACTCTCCTAGCAAATTGATATATTTCTATCAGATGAGTTTTTCCTTTTTTGCTTGGTTCAACAGAAAGTTCAACATTAGGCTCTTATTATTATCCTTAGCCTAGGCTTATAGCATAGGTTATTATTTCAGTAGTCCAACTGTATAGGCATGATTGTATATGTTTTGGAGTTGAGCTATAAATTATATATTTCTAAATACTGCTTTTGAAGCTGAGTTGCAAAGTGGTTTAATTTAGAAATGCACCTTTCAAGTGTGTGTTTCTGAGGCTGCTAACCAGTCCATAATCTTTAAGTGCAAGATTTTTTTTTCTTGACAGAAAGGAAGAGTTACTAAAAGGGATCTATGCGATGGGATTTAATAGGCCATCCAAAATCCAAGAGATGGCTCTCCCTATGATGCTGGCACATCCGTGAGTTTCCAGGGTAGTGGTATTCCAACTTGGTTATTTTTAGTCTCTTATATTCAGTTTGTGCACAGGCTCTTGTATTCAGTTTATGCCCAGTGGTCTCCTCTTTCCTACAGACCCCAGAACCTCATAGCCCAGAGCCAGTCTGGAACAGGAAAAACAGCTGCTTTTGTCTTGGCAATGCTAAGCAGAGTTAATG